CTCGGCCGGCTCCGAGGGCCTGCTCGCCCCACCCGCCCCCTGGGCCTCCCAGCGCCTAGAAACTCCTACTTATACACTTTAAAGCTTGTGGTGGATTGACAACTGGAGGTCAACTTGTAACACCCAGCTGAACTGAGTCAGCATGGTGCTGGGTGTGGGAGGTCCACCTGAGGATTGTTGCCGGCAGCATAAAAGGCAGAATTGGAAAGGAAGAAGTTTGGAGTGTGTTGGGAGCTGTTAGAAGCTACTGGGTGCTTTTAGAAGCTGTAAGGAGCTGTTGGTTTTCTTGGAGGAGCTCGTCATGCTGGCTTTCCTGATGAACTCGGCTGTTCTTGTTGTCTGAGGTGCTCAGGATCTTGTTGTTGCTGAGGATAGCTACAGTTCACTTTGAGGGAGCTCTGGTCCTCACTTTGAGCATTGCTTCGTGGTTCTGGAGGGGAAGATGGTGCACTGCTCAGTCTCCTGGAGAAGCTTGCTGCATTGGCTTTCCTGATGGCAGCTCTGCTTTCCCCATCATCGGATCAGCTGAGGACCTCACTGTTGCTGAGGATGGCTGTGGTACTTTTCTGGGGAGTCTGATGTCCACTTGGGTTATTTCTAGCTAAGGGGACTGAAGAATGCTGTGACTATGTTACAACCAGCTCGAAAGAGAAGGAAACTCCCCACAAATTTATGTGTAAGAAAGAAATGTTGGGATGAATGGGCAAATGGAGGCAGAGATAGCTGATTCTAGAGTGGGGAAGTAAATAAATGTCTGTCTTATATAAGAGAATAATAGAATGGTTAATGTCTGACAGAATTCATAAGTCTTTGGACAAGATTCATTTTGCATTGTTCTCAGTTCTCTGTCAAACTATAAAGCTTTAAAATAGCTCAGTGGTTAGAATCCGATTATCTAGACAGGTTCCACTGTACACACTTTGCTTTTCCTCATAACTGTTCTTTTTTTCCTAGATACATTTCAGAATCTTTTTTTCTGTCTTACAGTGTCTGCTGTGAAAATCTGGGGACTTGGCATCTTCCACTGACGTGCTGCTAAACTACTGTTGCTCCATACTCTGTCTTCCAGCATTTCAGAGGAGCTTGGGAAAATCCCTACTTTATTGCAGAGAGATTGGATGTAGAAGAACACAATGGCCTCATTACACACATAGAAAACAAACTGCGACCCACAATCTGCAGAAAACATCTCAGAAAGCCAACTTCCTATCTGCTAGTCAGACTCCTGGAAATCAGACCACTCTCTGCAGCAACAAGTCTAGTAAGACAAATAGTGTCCCTGTAACACTTGACACCAAACTTGCCAGGTGTGGTGGCGCACGCCTGTAACCCTAGCAGTTGGGAGGCTGAGGCAGGAGGATAGTTGTGAGTTTAGACCAGTCTGGGCTGCAAAGTGAGCTCAAGGCCAGCCTGCACTGCATAGTGAGACCCTGTCTCATAAAGACAAAAAAAAAAAAAAAAAAAGAAAAAGAGAAATCCCCCCCCCCCAAAACTAAACCAAAACAAATACACTTGACACCAAACTGCCAGAATTGGCTAGTAACTGATGGTTTCCCTGATTTCTACTTCCAATTTAGGACCTATTAGAGAAAGTCAAGTGTGCATCCCCATCCCATCTCATTGGATGCCTGTTCTGATTGGCCCACCTACAACTTCCTTTTGTCAGCAGCCCCCAATCAGGACACACTTTCCCAGTCCTCTGCTGCCTTTGAGTCTCTGCTCAATGCAAGTGGCTCTGGCTGACACCCCTGGACAGCAAGTTCTGAAATGGCCTGGCTTGTTCCCACCTGGATGGTCCGTTTGTTTCCTCACTTTGATATTGCCATGTTCAGTAATACGTAAGGAAGGGTTTCCTATACATTAAGGAATGTTTAGGTGATTATTCTCCAAATATGCTATGTTCCTTTCTGATCACAAGTTTTGTTATCCAATTCCTGCACATAGACTGTTAGTCATATGTAACTACGTCGCTCTGATAAAAACTCACCGTTTCTTTTCATTCTGGCATTTTGGTACATGTTTGTCCCTCACCTGGCATTTATCTCTTATCTTAAAAATAAAAATATCAACACAAATTCATCTTTATGTGAACATTTTTAAGCCCATGTAGCTGCATGTTTCTTTTACTTTTTAGCTTTTTAATATGCTTACCCTGCTTTCTGTAACAGAGTACCCACCTGATGTAAAAGGTGACATTGAGGTCACTGTTGAACAATAGTTCAGTGCTCCTGAAGTACATTCTTAATGGTCCGTTTTCACTTATCATCTTCTCATTTCTGCTAACCAAGTAAATCGTATTCCACCCCAGATTCTGCTGAAAAGAACGTTCACGTGAGACACATTAGGACACTTTCCTTGCGTGTTTTCTTATGAGAAACAAAAAAGCATATTCAGTTGTTGAATAGTAAAATCTTGAAAGCCAAGCTGAAAATACAGTCAGAGTAATGAAATTAAGGAAGATTTTATGGTTGTGAATAATAGAGAGAACTGTGGGTTATGGCCTCATAGTTTTTTGTTTTTTTTTTTGTTCTTTTTTTGTTTTTTTTTCCAGTAACGGGAACTGAACTCACGACCTCGCTCTTACCAGGTAGGTACTGTGCCGCTGAGCTAAATCCCCAGCCCCTGGCTCATAGTTTAAACTAGACTGATACTTACTGCTGTGAGCTCTGCCACTTTGGTTTTTTTTGTCACTGAGCATAGTCAAGGTCAAACTGAACTCCATACCCAACAGCACACACACACACACACACACACACACACACAGAGTCCCACAAAGAGTTAAATGACATCAGTGATGCTTCCTCATGAATACCTTTCCATTTTCATTCCTTGTCATTTTTCCGTTTGCATCCTGGGTAACCCATGTCACGCCAACAGCAAGAAATAAGAGCAGAGCCTTCATTCTTATATGAGACCCCTCAGTTTTCTGTACCTTGTATAAAAGTATTGCTGGTTGGCAAGTGAACCTATCTGAGTGCTTTTATAGCACTGTGTGATGATGTGACATCTATGGCTTACTTGTTCTAACTTGCTTATAAGTAATCCAAGAATAACCCAAACAGCATTCAGATGTAAATTTAAAAGCAGAATTTTAGAAACAGATTACGTTTTGATGTTTGATACTTAGGTAAATAATGCTTGCGCAGTAATAAATGAGAGTTAAGCACAATGGTGTTTTTCAGTTCTCTTCCTGAACACCTAGTACTTGGAAAAAAATCACACAAAGAGTGTACGTAGGAATACCTGTTTTCTTTTTTCAGTGTGGTCAAGTGATATATTTACATTTTTTCTTAATTACAGTACTAAGTCTTTTCATATCTGTGCAAATCACTCTAAGGATGTGTCCATAAAATATGTGGCTTTGGATTACATCTAATAGAAATAATACCTTGACAAAACTTTGGCAAAGTTTATATGTAAGCTTTGTAAACATTTTAGTGAAGTCTATATATAATACAAAGAGCTAGAGGTTCCATTCAACTCAGGTATTCCTCTTCTTGGTATCTTCCCAAAAGAATTAAAAGCTTCATACCACAGTGCTATATGCACACTCATCTTTATAGTGGCATAGATTTTAATAGTTAAATCTTGGAAACAACCCAAATGCCCATTAACTGATGAATGCATAAAGAAGATGTAGTTTTAACATAATACAGTACTACTCTGCCATAAAGAACGATAAGCTT